GCATGTCATGAATGTGAACAAGGGGAGCGATTATGGCCTTCCCCTCTTCTCGACATAGCAGCGCTTATTGAAGCCGACAAACACGGAGTTACGCATTACAGGCGCTAACGTATTTTGATTTTGCTTTTCATTTCGAATGTACTAAATAAAATCTGAAAAATTAAATCTTTTTGTTTATTTTCTTATTTACTTCATGCATATAATATTCACCAGAATAGACGTATCAATCGCACGCATGCAATCATCATTTCACTTTGATATGAATCTTGGCAGCAAGATCCAAAAATTTCACTACTAGGCATAATTAAGGTTGCTCTGTGCATATTAATTGAAGCAATACCTCGTACAGTAGTGAAGCTGCAATGATTATTATTATATATTCCTAAAAGTAATAACTAAAAACCAATGGATTAGCGCCACGTCATGTTCCAGTACTTAGTATACAAACTTCAGCGTTAGACGAGACGAGAGTGCGTGAGAAGAAGAAATTGCAAATTTCCTTAAAGCATCTATATATTTGTTGTGTTTCTGCTATGATATGGTGAGGTGGCAAGATATGTATGAAAGAAACTAATATGAGGTTGGGATCCAAGTGCAAGATGATCGAGCATCGTCCCGTCATAGCCCAACAACTTTTAATTAATTTTATTGCATTCCCTTATCATCAGAAACAATAAATAATAGTTATCATAAAAAAAGAAACAATAAAAAATCGTGATCCTTACAGCTCAGTCTCAAACGAGCGATCGTGTACCAATTGCTAGAGAAACACTGTTACGTGGAAAAAAGTTCCAGTTCAAAAAGTCACGTGAATTATTCATAATAATTGAAGGATAAAATCAAAGCAAATAACGATAAAAGAAAGAGAATACAAATAAATTTAGCTTTCAATCTTTAATGACATTAAATTAGAAAATGCAAGTTTTGGTAAAAAAAATCAATATGTATACTTGTGAAAGAGAACAATTTCATCACATTGAGTTGACGTAAGAATATTTTCCACTGCACTAAAACTCGCTTCATATTATTTAATTGTCATAAAATCAATTTTCCACAAACCTCTTGAGTATCTGGTCAATGAATGGCAGAGGGAAATGATCCTTCTTTGTGGCATCGTTGAGGCGGCGATAGTCGATGCAAACGTGGTACCCAGTCACCGTTCTCCTCGGGATAAGCTCATTCTTGTCATTTGCGACAACAGTCATCCCGCCCTTTTTAGGCACCACCTAAGTGGGACTGGCCCACTCGCTGTTGGAAATGGCGAAGATGATTCCTGCGTCCATCCACTTAATAATCTCTGCTCTGACCATGGCCTCTAGATTCGGTGTCAATCTCCTCTAAGGCTGTCTCACCGGTCGAATCTCATCCTCCATCATGACCCGGTGGGAACAGAAAGAAGGGTTGATCCCTCGGATATTGGTGATCTTCCATGCTGGAGCTAGCTCATACTGCTTCAGCAGGGCCACCATTCTGATCTTCTGCTCGGGTATGAGGGTAGAGCTGATGATGGCTGGAAGCTTGTTCCCTCCTGAAGAAATGCATACTCCAAGTGAGAAGGGAGGGGCTTCAGCTCCAGTTCTGGTGGCTAGTCTAAAGAGGTGGCAATATTGGGTCGAGGATGAGATAGACTTGAACGGCTTCTCGACCTCCAGGAACTCGCCATGCTACCGATGCCAACTGCTCCTCCAGCTGCATCTCTTGTGATGTCTGCTCACCTAGCAAAATACAATGCTCAAGGACATCATCAGTACCTGCACTCGTGATGGCGAGTGTGGTTTCAAAATCAGCTATAAGTAGGGCTGCAAATGAGCCAAGCCGCTCGCGAGCAACTCGGCGTTCGAATCGGAAAAAACTCGTTCGACACTCGACTCGTTGTTTAACAAGCCGGCTCGCGAGCTAGCTCGTTAGTAAACGAGCCAAGCTTGAGCTAGGCCATGCTCGACTTGATAAGCTCGTGAGCTAGCTTGACTCGGTGGCTTGTTGAGCTAAGCTCGTGAGCTGGCTTGTTTAAAGCTTGTGGAAGGATTAATTACTTTTCTGAACATGAGAATTATCTTATTAATAAGGATGTGTATGGAAGTTAGATGTCATTTTTAGTTTTTAAGGTTCTTTTTATCATTTTTAATTTCTAATGTTCTTATTTGTACACATTTTTCATCAAGAATTATTTCAAATCGAGCTTATCTTGAGCCGAGCTTGTACTCAGCTTGACAAGTTGTGTTAATGAGCATTTACCGAGCTTTATCGAGCCGAGCTCGAGCTGGATTATTTTTAATCGAGTCGAGCTCGAGCTCGAGCTGGATGATGAAATTTTGAGTTCGAGCCGAGCTCGAGCTAAAAAATTTATAAACGAGCCGAGCTCAAGCACAGCAAAAACTCGACTTGGGAGCTCGAGCTGAATGATGAAATTTTGAGTTCGAGCCGAGCTCGAGCTAAAAAATTTATAAACGAGCCGAGCTCAAGCTCAGCAAAAACTCGACTTGGCTCGTTTGCAGCCCTAGCTATAAGGTCATAGGAATCCAAATCATCATTCATGTAGGAATGCTTTACATTATCGAAAATAGAAAATGTAGCTTGTTCATCTCCAGCCCTCAAAATTAACTTGCCACTATGCACAACAATCAAGGGCACATCCACATCTTCATATATGTCCAACAAGATATGTGAATGCACCCACATTAACAAGTAGGTCCTCAATGATACCCCTAGGATGCACAATCGATCGATCGGCTAATTCAATACTCATCCTAGTGGTTCTGGGTTCACCTGGGTCTAGATTCTTAAACAATTTATAGGACATGACATTAATGCTAGCCCCTAGGTCCGCCAAGGACTTTCCTACATGCATGCTGCAAATAACAAGAGGGATAGTAAAACTCCCTAGGTCTTTCTGCTTCTCGGGCAGCTTGTTTTGCAGGATTGTAGAACACTCCTCACTCAACATCATTGTTGATAGATCCCCAAGTTTCTTATTATTGGTGAGGAGGTCCTTCGTGAATTTCACGTACTTGGGCATCTTCGACAGTGCCTCCACGAATGGTATGATGATGTTGATCTGCTTCATAATTGCCATGAACTTGGCAAACTCACTCTCTAGCTTGTCCTTGTGCATACGAGTGGGGAAAGGAAGCTGGGAAACATGCTCCTTAACCACTGGTTGTGGTTTCGGAGCAGACGCTTCCTTCTCAATCTCCACTTCGTCGTCTTCAGCTGGAATTGCTGAAACAGATCTCGGTTCATCCTGCCTAACCGGAGCAGGAATTGTATCCGCCGTCTTCCCACTTCTCGTAGCAATGGTATCTAACTGCTGGTGAGAATCTTGAGGATTTGGAAGGTGTTGGCAGGTAGAGTTCCAGATGCTCTAGAGGCATTGCGCTAAGCTATGCCCCCAATCTGGTTCTAGAGGTCCTGTAGAATTCCATTCTGGTTCCTCTGACCTGCCTCCATCTCATTGAATTTCCGTATGGAACTAAATCGCTAAATGTCGCCCTAAGAACTGCTAAACGTCGCCCTAACTTAAATGTAAAATTACTTATATACCCTTAAGCAAAAACTCAAAATTGGCTTAAACAAACAAGCCCTTAGCAATTCAAATTCATTCCCCTCCCCCCCTCAACTCCTCTCACCCGCGACTCCTCTCACCTGCGAATCACTTCCGCCGACCTATCTCGCCGCCGCCGCCTGCTCACTCGCCAGTCGCCGCTCACCCGCAGTCGCCGCCACCACCCGTCGTCGCTCCCGTCGTCACCGCTCGCGTCGACACCGGAGAAGACCGCCCGTCGCCGCTCGCATCGTCACCGGAGAAGGTACCGAACTGGCCCCCCGGTTTGACCGACGGCTGACCGCGGTTTAACCCTTTTTTTATATTCTGTTTTTTTAATTCTGTGTTTTTATTATTCGATAAATGTTAATAATAATAAAAATGATTAAAAAATATACTTAATAAAAATAATTTAGTTATATGTTTTGTCAATAATGATATAAACAAATTTTAAAAACGTATTCGATAAATGTTAATTAATGATAACAAATTTAAAGAACATTATAAAAAAAATTAAAAATGTGTTTTTATCATTTTAATAATCAAAATTTCAAAGTAATTCGTTTATCTACTTAATTATTAATAATTTTATCTTGATTAATTATTTACTTTTATGCAAATAATTATTACATAGAACGTAACATAAATGTTAAAACTATTAGTTTTATAACTTTAATTATGAAAATCTTAAATTAATTACTTTATGTACTCCATTATTAATAATTCAAACTTTTTTTTGAAGATGTCTGGACATGGAATGGGTAAACCAGATATGATTAAGGCGAGAAATAAGGAGAGAATGGAAGGTCGTCGGTGTAGACTTACGGTGACTGGTAGGAAGGAAAATGAAGAAAAAAATCCACCTAAGGTTAGAAAGAAAATGAAGAAAAAAATCCACCTAAGGTTAGAAAGAAAATGAAGAAAAAATCCACCTAAGGTTAGAAGGAAGAAGAAGAAGGCGGATGTAGTGCGTCCTGACGGCCACCCTACTGTGGGGCAGTTGTCTCTTAGTCAAGGTACTACCAGTACTCCTACACCAGAGAGCGCACCGCTATGGCATGCTAATTGGAGTGATTCCATTGACGAGGATGATGATGATGACTGTGACGCTGAGGTTGGGAATGCCCCAGATGTTGGTGATGATGCTGGTGATGCTGCTGGTGATGCTGAGGTTGGGGATGCCCCACCTCAAGCTGATTTAGGCGTGGGGAAGACGGCGCGGTTCGGGATATCTTCTACTGCCTCCTCACACTTCCGTGGGCCCGATGGACGCTATGCGTCCAAACCTAGTAGCGAGGAAGGCGGAGATGGAAATAGGAAGAGGAAGACCACGAGGAAAGATATGTCGTGGTTTATTACATCCGAGTCTCCGATGTGTTCAGATGGACCAGTGATTCCCGCTGTGATCCCTAGCTTTGGAGGTCACATTGGCTTTGTACTGTGGACTTCCCCTGAGCAGGACCGTGGAGTGTTGGACGGCTTCCATAGGCCGAAAGCTGTAGAGACTTTGAGGCGATATAAGTGGAGTGCAGAGGGTTCCAAGGAGATGGTTGAAGCCACAGGATTGTCTCACTTGACAGGGTGCATGATGCAGCATTTAGACATGGCTTTACTGTCAGCATTTGTGGAGAGATGGCAGCCGGACACAAACACCTTCCACATGTCGTTTGGAGAGATTTTGGTCCTTCTACACGATGTGAATCACATTCTTCGTATTCCGGCTGATGGAGAACTGATGGGAGATGAGGCGTCGCCGGATATTCTTAAGTCAGACATGGGTGGTCTAGTTCGACTTTCGGTGGATGCTCATGTTGGTGGTAAGTGGAAGTCTAAGTGGTACGATAATGGCTATGCATGCAGAGGGATTGTTGGTGCGTGGGGGAGAGCTGAAGATTAAGGAGATGGAGGTGCAGTGTTACCTATTTGTGTTACTGGGATCCACGCTTTTTGTGGATAAGAGTCGTGATCGCCTTCGTCCTGCAATCAACTTGTTTCTGAAGGATCATCGACGATTGATTGATTATGCTTGGGGAGTTGGTGCACTAGCCTATCTCTACAGACAGTTGGGAGTGGCCACACGAGCGGGTAGTAAGGGTCTTTGTGGTTGTTTGACCCTGCTTCAGGCTTGGATATATGAGTACTTTCCTCTATTCCGTCCGAGCCAGCTGCCGCAGTCTCAGGATGCACCTCGTGCTTCCTCGTGGATTTCTCCCCGTTTGCCAGGTGGGGATGATGCTAGACAGAGGTTAGCACGTTATCGACAGTTGATGGATCAGCTTTCAGCTGATGATGTGACCTGGACTCCGTACGGACGAGATGGCCACACAGATATACCTCGCTCCTTGTTTACTGGCCCCATTCGCTTTTCTGACATTGCTGAGGGATACGATCCTGCACGTTGTATGTGCCAGTTTGAATACCGACAGATTATCCCCTGTGCTATGATGGTACCACATGACCAGTACCGTCCGGCTTCCGGCAGCAGTTACATAGTCTTTTGGGATCCGTGGGTGAATCAGTTGTGGGATAACGTGGCAGCCCATCGTCTAGATTTGAATTTTGCTTCTCGGCCGTGCGAGCACCCATCGGAGATCGTGGAGGAGTACGTTGACTGGTTTCTGACAAGATCTCACCCATGGATCACCCACCCCAGCTCTGATGGGGTGCCTCAGCCTCGACCACTACTAGTTCATCAGGTTAGTTATGACTTTCTTTTGCTTTTCCAAATATAAAGGACATTTGTTATTTATTCTAACATTGTTTTCTATTTACAGTTGAGAGAGCAGATTGTGGATCGTTTAGGTCCCGTGTTGCTGACGAGGGACCGGAGTAAGTGGGAGGAGGACGGTGGTAAGTTCTATTATATGGTAGCTGGGGTTCACGAGTTGTACGACCAGTTGGTAGGGCAGCCTCATCAGTAGACGATTGTGTTTTTTATTTGTCATCGTTTAATTTGTAGTTGAACTGAGACTATTGTGCTTTTTATTTGTCATCGTTTGTAGTTGAACTGAGACTATTGTGTTTTTTATTTGTCATCGTTTATAGTTGAATTGATACGATTGTGTTTTTTTACTTTAGTTACATTCAATGCATTGCTAAAATAGTTAATCAACATGGTAGATTACTAAATGTTTCAACAATAGAGAGTTATACAATTCGTAAATATACTTCCAATCGTCATCCCCGTGGGTTCAAACTATCATAAAGCGCACGCTCATGTAAGAAGAATTGATCCCACCCATTGACACTAGGGTTATGAAAAATAGGCCAAAGGCCATTAATTGGAGGTATGGGCACTTGACCATGTCGAAAGTCAAGTCGTGTATCAATGAAGATTTATTAGGAGACTAACCGTGTCGACTGCGCCAGTAGATGATTGAAGCCACTTCTTGAAGGAGGAATGGGCAGCTTCAACCCTATTAGAGCTTGTGTTACCCAAATGCCGCACTTGATTGGTATAACATTTAGCCCACATGTGTCTAACTGGTAACCACTCAGCTGTCATATACCCCCAAAGACGTCGGTATTGTACTCCCCAACTACGTCTGAAATTTTCTAAGGAAGTATCCATGTCTTCCACTGTCAATGCATATACAGCACGTTGCCAAGACGCCATGATATGATCCACTGTCGGTTTGGCTGCATCTATACCACAATGAGTCGTCCTTCGCACCTCCGCTAGACACTTTGCTCTCACATTCATATCTATATGCCAAAGACATAATATATGAGTCGATGATGGAAACATTACCCCCACGGTCTCAACCAATCCTCCTGCCTTGTCACTGACAAACACATCTGGAACAATGGGGCCAAGAAGATGTTGCAAATTCCTCAGAAGCCACTGGTACGACTCCTTCGTCTCGTCGTACACTATTGCAGATGCAATGACAAAGCTCAATCCCACTAGTGTCATGCCGACAATCTCAACCCAAGGCATATCATACTTATTGGTCTTGTATGTTGCATCTATCACGATCACATGGTGCCAAGCTCGCAACATCACTATTGACTCGGGGTGGGCTAGGAAAAAGTGTGTAAGCACGTTACGATTGTCCATATACTGCACATAGTAACCCTTCTCCTGCGCTACGCGGAAATCATACTGTAAGGTTGTCATCTGACCAAGCTCTTCTTTCCTTATCTTGTGACACTCGTTATAAATATGCTTTCTGTTGTGTGTTCCATTTGCCTTGTGGATATTCCTTGGTGGGACACCGGCTGATCTCAGCTCTCTAATGTATTGCTTATCCTCTGTAGTCAAAACATTCCTTCCCTTTGATCCCTCCGGAAATAGCTCCAACTGATGATTGTGGAAACCCAAATTAGCACCAGGATTCTTTGTATTTGCCACCCCTAGGATCAACCAATATCCATCACCGGACCGCTCAAGCTTGATCTGAAACGCGCACCCCAACTTTTCAGTAGATGTAAGAGGCCTCCTTTCCTTACTCGGATCAGGTTCCTTCGACTTCTTCTTCCTACCATGAGTGCAATGTAAGTAATGTCGCCAAGTACCTTCATTCTTATTTTTTTTGTTCGATGCCCTCACCAAATAAAACCTAAAACCCTTGGCAATCTCAGTAGCTGCTTCATATGCTTGCAACTCCGTAGTGTATTTCACGCCATCAATGAAATCCGAGGTGTAATCATGGCCATCCGGATTGTAACTTCCAATATCCTGCAATGTTATCAGAATTTATAAGTGATACCCCACAAATTTTAAAAAAACTTAACATTCTATATCGTCAATTTAACGAGTACCATATGATAAATTTAAAATTTCATAACTATATTAAATTTAATAATCATCATAACTTCATATGCGAATCTATTATTTATGCAATAAATTTAATCTTAATTTGTAATGCATAATCTAATCTAAATTTTCTAGATTAAGACCAAATTAAATCTAATCTTAATTTAAGGCCAAATCTAATCTTAATTTCTAATGCTAAATCCTTCAATTCCAAAAATAATTATGCAAATAAATCTAGAAAATTATATAAATCAAAACTCAACAAATTATCTCATGGAACAAATCATAAATCATATAAAAAATAGAAAATACTGATTTAAAAAAAATCATAAAATGCTGAACCGCAAGTGACCTGCGGTTGGACCATGACTGAACCGCAGCTCAGTTGTAGTGCTAGTCCCATTTTGTCCTCCTGCTCGGAGTCACTGCTTATCCGGCCGTCGACTTGCTCTTCCTCCGCAGCTAGTCTCACTTGCAGTGCTTTCTTAGACTGACGACAAGTTTGTTCAAGTTCCTGATCCAACGGCAGCAATCCTCCCGACTGGCTACGAGTCATGCACTATCTGCATACAAGCTGTAGGCAAACCCGTGCAGGCAAAAGAGTAAAGAAGTAAAAGAAAATAATGCAGAAGGAAATGCTAAAGTAACAGAAATCACGTTTCTTCAACAACATAGTCGTCCTTGGCAACGGCGCCAAAAACTTGACTCAACAATACCGGCACACTAGAAAGTGGTCAAGTGTAACCACAAACTAATGCGTAGTATAGCGTGTTTAGCTTTATTTTTCAACCCGGATCCTAGATGTGATGACTACTCCGTGAAGTTCTCGTTATTCAGCAGTTTGAACATAGTGAAGTTGTATCTAATCCAAACAAACACATAGTAGTAAAGTTGTGATTCAAGTTCGAGAGAGGTCACCCAGATATGGTTCCCCCTAGATTGCAGTTAAGCGAAATTGTAATTCACCAAGTTCATGTATAATGATAGTTATATTGCGGAAGGTTCTTATTAAGTCTGAATTCTTGACTACAGGTCTTCAGACCCTCACAGTCTAAATACCCGACGGGCGGCTAACCTCCACCAGAATAAACGAACCGAGTCCCTAACATGCAAAACCTCCTCTACCGGATCAAATCTAGTACAGAGCAGTGAACTGACTTCTCGAACTAAAGTAGTCAATTCAACACCTTCAATCAAGGGTACTTTATCAACCTATGCATATATTCTCTTTATAGGTCAAAGCAGAAACTACAAGAATGTTATCAGGACTCATGCAATTTTGAAATCACGCCTCAATTGAATATAATCAGTATCAAAATATCATGTACATGGGTTCATACAATCAAGCCTAACATACAACTCTAGGGTTCTTCAGACCTAGGTGAGAGAGGGAGTTTACTCCAAAGAGAGAAGGAAAACAGCTTCAGTTGCAGAAATCATCATGTAGTGGATGGAATTCAGCTTCTGGTTGTCAATCAATGCTTCTCCAGGCTTCAATCAAGCTCCAATGGTGTTAAAAGTCAAAGTATATCACCTTGGAAGATGGGTTTGTCACTTTCTCTCTCTAACTCTCTGTTTTCTGCTCTAAAACTCGGATCCCTTCTTCACAAACCCAAAATTTGGTTAAAATCAAGATTTTCCCGATAACACGGCCATCGCAACGCCATGTAGAATCCTGTGTATGCTCGTGTAACTCCCAAAATGCAGCGTTCGGATTAGTTGCTCGTGGTCGACACACAACCAGGATGTACGACCGTGTGGAATGCATCCTTGCCCGTATAACTATCCTGAAAAACCCGCACGACCAAAGGGTGCCCTTACACGGCTAGTACGACCTTGGTCGCGTAGTCCCAGATGTCAACCAGACCACAATGCCGCGTAAAATTATCAGTAGGCCGCGTATCGTTCTCAGCTTTCCGTCAAACGTCCTAACTTCGTGCAATCGACCTCAAACTCATGCCCAAACCTTGATTCACGTACTAGGACTTGAAATGTCACTAACAAGAACAACCTAGTGTGAAATCAGTTTAAAACACGAGAAATGATCCTGACACAATATAAGAATGGTGGACAAAAAACATGTGCAAATATCAAGTCATCACTTGCACAAGTCTTTATATCACATATGTGTATGATATTTAAGTCATTATTTGACTAAACCTAGTGCACCTCTTTGGCATTCAGTGAAACATGTACTAGGATATCTCAAAGACACAATACATTATGCATTAGCTTGTAGTGGATTTTCATGTATTTTGGATGGATACACTGATGCTAGTTGAATTTATGATGTTCAAGAACATACTTCAATATTAGGGTGTATTTTCTTGCTTAAAGGGGTTCCATCTTTTGGGACTTTAAAAGGAAAACTTGCATCACTAGTTCCACTATGGAGTTAGATTTTATGGCATTGCCTTCTGTCGGGAAGCAGAATCGTTGGGGACTTGGTTTATGACATGTCTTTATGACCTAAACCAATCTCACCTATTACTATCCTTAGTGATAGTAATGCTACTTTGGCTAAGACATATAGTTAAGTATATAATGGCAAGTTCAATCATCTAGGAGTTAGACTCGTTAAAATCCATGAATTGATCATTCATGGAATTGTGTCAATAAAATATGGCCTTACTCTAAAGA